CACCCGAAACGCCTGTTATGGACCATTCGTATCAGTTAAAAAATAAGAATGTTTGCACAACGGAAGGCTTCACTAGAATAACGGCTAATGAAAAGAGAAAAATAAATGTAAAAAAGTTATTTTCTTCAAGTGAGTCAAATGAAAAAGTAGAACTTGGATATTTTCATTCTTCGATCAGAAAACTGACACTTAACTAAAAAAATGCTCTAACGTACTAATGGGAGTAGTTTGTGCACGCATTAAACTGTCAAATACAGAAACACGAGCTTTAGTCACAGGTCTTTCTTGTCATAAATATAACTTTGAAAACATGAATCAATTTAATAGTATGACGGTTCGAGTTATTATTTTAAATATATTTTCGTATTTATTGTAACTATTTGTGAAAATATTTTTTTCCTTTTTCAACAATATTAAGAGTTTATATTTTTTTATTTTATGTCTAAGATAGCATTTTTTGGTCAAAAATTTACTTTTTTTTTCAGAGTTAACTTGTAAATATAATTGAGAGAGATTCGTTATTAGTAGTTAGTTTATATTTTCTATTTGGAGTTTGTAAATCAATATTAATTTTTATATTAGTTATTCGTTATTTTTTGTTCTTTAACTATTTATTCATTTTTGACAACAAGGAAAAATATTTTAAACTAAAAAATCGAACTTCGTTGTTTAAATCCTTAGTTTTGATAATTTCACGGTCCTATTGCGAAGTTTATTTTATGTGCATGAAAAGTAAATGTTAAAAGCTGGTTTTTTAATATTATATTAAGTTCATGTTGCTGAGACTGTGATTTAAATGAATTAATTATTTATTTTATAAAATAATTTTAATTCAGTTAAAATTATTCAGTTATTGACTCTAATTAATTTAAAATTTATTAGTTGTACAAAAAGTAAACTTCTAAACAAAAGATTTGAATTCCGCGGTTAAATATTAATTAGAGCGTTACCGCAAGGCAACAATAGTAGTGAAGTTATTTCAAAATTGATATGTCTAACCCTTTTAAAACTAACCAATCATATTTGCTACCGTGACTTTAAATGAACCAATCAGACTTAACTACTAGCAACCACTAATTTAATAACGTCATCAAAAGTATCTCCCCTAAAAAAGACAAATATTGACTATACTCAAATAAAATTTCAATTTATTCAAGATCAACTGCTCGACTGAACACTTCAAACTGAACACTTCTTAATTTGACTTTGATAAAGCCACTATTTTCCTTAAAAGAGATGTGAGTTATGTTTTTCTAATCAATTATCAGTGTTCCATTTAAATATTCGTAGTATTACTAAAAACTTCGACGAATTAAAAGTCCTACTAGATAATCTTAACTTTAACTTTAGCTTAATTTGTTGAAAGCTGGATTTTAGACAACATTTAATCAAAATTCTAATTTTATTTTGTCCAACTACAAAGCCTTTAGTTTTGAACGTAAATCTTTAGAAACAGGCGGTGAAATATGTGTCTATGTGCTTGATGAATTTACTTATAAAATTAGATATGACCTGTCGTTCTCTGAGCCGGATTGTGAATCAAATGAAAAATAAAAAAACCTATCATCTTGAAAGATAAATCATAAGTTTTAAAAAGTAGACAAGATGTAAATTTTCTCAATGATCAAAAAGGATTGCATATTGAAAAATGTTGCGCCAAAATAATTTAGCAAAATAGAAAGTAAAGTAAGAAAAAAAATTTTAAGATTATAGGAGCCCATTAGGAAACAAATAAAGGTTAGATAGTAAAAAATTTGAGGAGACTAAAATATTTAGATACTTGCGACAACGAAGATAATATGACAGACATCTCCAGCCTTTTAGACAGCATCTCCAGCCTTTTAGAAAATTTAAAAAGTATATTGATCCTATTTTTATTCATTTTTTGTAAAGTAATTACATACATTAACTCTTGAATTAGCTCAAACAAAAAAGTCAGCAAGTTCTGAAAATTTTGAAGACATGTGCTAATAACAGCTGCAACCTTTTCTTAGATAAAATTTTCAATTTGTACGATAAGCATTTTCCTAATAAAACAATAACTTCTTAATGCTTGGTTCACTAAAAACCTTTTAAAGTCTTCAACGCAAAAACAAAAGCTATACGAGCAAAAACAAAAGTTATACGAGCAAATACAAAAGCTATACTTCGAAGCAAATACAAAAGCTAAACTCGTATATATGCTTTATTAAATCAAAGAAAGATTGTGACAAGCATAATTACTTAGAGCACAAACGTCTATATGAAAGAACTGAAAAATAGCCAGAACTACATACTTCAAAAACAGTAAAATTAAACACACTCCTGCACATTTCTTGAACTATCTATCAAAGTCGGATAAAGACTTAGCATTTAAAAAACTCAATTGTAAAGAACTTGATGACTCGATAAAAAATCTAAATCTAAATAAAGCCACAGGCTATGATTCTATTTCAGCTAGTAAAATCAAAGACTGCTATGAGCTTATTAAAGATGTTTTATTAGATATTTTTAACAAATCGTTTAAAACAGGTGTTTTTCCAGATAAACTGAAAGTTGCAATTATTACACCCATTTTTAAATGAGATGAAAGTCTGGTTACAAATTATCGACCTTTATTGGTGTTACCTGTTTTTTCAAAAATCCTAGAACGTATCATGTATAATAGGATATTTGCATTTTTGAATGATAACAATCTTCTTTATTATAAACAATATGATTTTCGATCAAATTACTCTACGGAACATGCACTTATGCAACTTGTTGAAGTTATCAGTGGAGCATCTTCTTATAACAAATACACTTTAGGTATATTCCTAGACTTTTAAAAAGTATTTGACACCGTTAACCATCAGATTTTATTTGAAAAATGAAAATAATATGGAATAAGCCACGAATACCACAAATGGTTTACCAATTACTTAACTAATCGAAAGCAGTTTATTTCTCTAAATGACGGCTTTCAGACAAACAAACTTAAATTTTTCATGTGGGGTTCCACAAGGCTCCATCTTAGGTTCGCTGCTGTTCTTAATCTATGTCAACGATTTATATAAAGCATCAAATACTATGTCTACTTTTATGTTTGCAGACGACACCACTTTATTCGATTCTCTCAGTAACATTATCTCTCTATTTCAAGTAGCAAATAATGAACTAGAACAAATATCAAACTGGCTTATCGCTAACAGCTTATCTTTAAACACTGATAAAACTAAGTTTCCCTTATTCCGTTCCAAACGAAAGTTTGAATATATTCCAAAATCCTTACCAATGCTATATATAAATAACATCAAAATTGAGCGCTCATTCACAAATAAATTACTTGGTATTTTAATAGATGAAAACTTATCCTGGAGAGATCATATTAATCAATTAGCAATAAAATTTCAATTAGCAATAAAATTTCAAGAAATATTGGCATTTTATATAAAACCAGACAAATCTTAGACAAATCTACACTAACTCAGCTATATTTTGCATTCATAAATAGTTATTTATCTTATGGCAATATTGTTTGGGGTAGTAGAAATAAATCTAAACTCGAATGTCTCCTTAAACAACAGAATCATGCAGCACGCATTATTCATTTTCAAAATTGCTTCACAAATGCTAAACTTCTTCTAAAAAGCATGAGGGCACTTGATATTTATGAACAAAATATTTTCAAAATTACACAATTTATGTTTCAACATCAGTCAAAAAAAAATGCCGGAGGTTTTCGAAAATATTTTCCCTAAAACATTTAACCGATACAATACTCGATCTACCAGAATATTTAAAAAAACTTTCCGTAAATCAAAACTTACGAGCCTTGCCATTTCCTATCGTGACCCAATGCTATGGAACCATTTTACAAGCCGAGTTGTAAACTTAAAGAAGCCAATACCTCTCAAAAATTTAAAAAGAACATAACCGAACTTGTTGCCAATCAAGATTCTTTACATTATTTTTTCTAATAATACACTTTTATTTCCAATTTTTATTACCAAAGGTTACTGATGATAGGATTTTATCTTTTTCAGGTTCTCCGGTCTCGTAACTACTACAAATAATAAAATGTATTTATATTTAATATTTTAAAATATTTTATTGGAAGTTAACTTTAATTGTAAATGGTTGCTTGACAAAAATAAATAATAAACTACTGTGACTTTAAGATGAAAAATTCGTGAAAAATCCAATGAAAAAAAAAAGCGAAAACGTTTTTCTTTTTGTCACACATCTTTTGTCTATAACATATTATTATTATTTTATTCAGACATTCTTTAAACTTTGTCTTGAGATGAGATTTACTCTTATAAATCAAACTATGGATTTTAGTTAATTTCATAAGATCTTCGCACTTAATAAATCCGTATTATTGTTGACAAAGTGCATTACGTAGTCAGTGCGCATAATAGCCAAAGTTTTTAATACTATTGGCCGCTTCAGCTATTCTGAAAGGTTATTCTTACTGTGTTCATCGCTTTAAATTAAAATGATTTTGTAACTATGTGTTTAATCGTTGTCAATGTGTTAAAATTAATCGCTGTCAATGTGTTAAAATTAATCGCTGTCAATGTGTTGAAATTAATCGTTATCAATGTGTTGAAATTAATCGTTATCAATGTGTTGAAATTAATCGTTATCAATGTGTTAAAATTAATTGTTGCCAACCTGTAAAATTTAATGGAGAAAGTTTAGGAAAATTTGTGGAGTTCAGTAGGTTTTTTTTCAAAAAACACAACAACATTTTTTGGAGAAACAGACCATATTTGGCGATTTGAAATATTAAATTAATCTCCGGATAATGGATTTTTTTGAAAATTCAATAGTATCCCAGTCGGAAAAAAGACGTCGAAAAGACGTCTTTAAAAGTCTTATTTACGATGTCTTTAAGACGTCTTTTATTAATCGATTTTGTAAATCTTTTTTCGACATCGATAAAACTTCTTTTTTTATCTTTTTGTCATAAAAACACATAAAAAATGCGTCTTTAAGACGCATTTTTTATGTCTTTTTATGACAAGATTGCGCACTGACTACGTAATGAACTTTTTCATCTTTCTCTTTCTTTTTTCTGTTTCTTGAGCGAGTTCAGTTTCTTGGCGTTGTTGAATAAAATTAACTACTTCACGTCGAGAAATCTTTTTATATGAGCTGGTTACGACTTCTAAAAAACGAGTGAACATAAAAACAGTCTATTGCTTGAATGTGATACAAAAAAGCAAATGAAACTTGATTAGCTGAGTGAAACACATTAGACTTACCAACTATTTATTCAAAAAGGGCTAATCCTTTTAACCCCTTCATGTTTCCAGCGCGGTTCTTTAACCAAGCTAAACATTTGCACCTCTCAAATTTGCTATGAAAGCCAAATTATTGAAAACAGATATTGATATTTTTCTCTCTTCTATAACGCGACTTTTTAATGGAATTTCGCTGAATTTTAGTGATGTAAACTCATAACAATTTAAAAATCCGTTATTGACTAAAGACTATCAAAACAAAAAGATAATTCAGCTAATACACCTTGAGAGTTGTTATTCATTTAAACTGGATAAAAGTATTAGTCAAAGCTCTATTTTAGTCTGAAACATAATGATGCTTTACTTAACAAGATAAAATTATAAAAACTGGTGATATCATTAGCAACACAGATGAAATACACATAAACAAAAACGAAGACTAGAAAGCTGCAATAATGTTTAGATATAAGAAAGTGTACCCTTCCAGTATGATTTTCACTTGGTCTTTTGTATCCAAAGCAAAAGTTTTGCTAACAGTTCTAAAGATAAATCTGTTGTCATTATGTGCATTTTTTTTACTTGTTTTGTTATCGACAGACAACAGTTAACAAGGAAAAAACAACTTTAACATAAAAGTTAAAAAGCTAATCTTTTGTATAAACAATTTCATTATTCAACTAAATAATTTAAAAAAAAATTGTTTAGATCATTTAAAAATATATAAAAAAAAAATTGCAAGCCTACTAACGGTTCTCCTTTTCTATCGTTCGTTTCACTGGCATTTGAACAAGTAAATATAGACAGAACTTGTTTACAGGTGACTGAAAATAAATATTTTAATTTGATATGTAATAAACAACGTTTTTCAAGCACAACACATTAAAAAATTAGTCCAAAAGTAAACGGTAAAACTTTTTAAAACACCTACCTGCGACTAACTTAATTGAGACTAAATCATATCGATACCACCTTACTGGCACCACGCCATCCACTTTTTGCTTCTTCCCATTAACATTTTTTAGCTAAACAGCTGTAATTATATATATATATATATATATATATATATATATATATATATATATATATATATATATATATATATATATATATATATATATATATATATATATATATATATATATATATATATATATATATATATATATATATATATATAATTTATATAAGCATATATATATACTATAATTTATATAAGCACATATATTATTTATATTTTACATAATATATTACTTTATTACATAAATTATAAAATAAACCCGCTTACCGAAAATAGTTGATTTTTAATTAAATTTGCTATGCAAAAATGTCTCACATAAAAAAAGTTTTATAAAAGTATTTTATAAACAAAAAACGGGCCAATCAGAACGTAACAAAGATATCGTAATTACTATACTGTGGGTTAAAATCCATATTTGTTAGGTTCTATTGGCAATAATTATTTTCAATTTTCTTAAACAAATAATGATTTCCTTATTAACAACGAAAGTTGTTAATAAGAAAATAATAATTTGTTTATTATAATTTAAATAAACAAATTATGATTTGCTTATTAACAACTAAAGTTGTTTCCCGGTGGAAAACGTTAGTGAATTTTCTTCTCCCCCTTCCTAAATATAAATTTTTTTACTGGGTGTTATTTAATTTAACATATAAATGAAAATTTTCTTATTTCTTTTTTTTAAAGGTCATCGATATAAGAGACGTCTTATTAAAGACGTACAACCGATTGACCTCTTTTTTGAAGACGTCTTTTCCACGTCTTTATTTAGGCTGATTATAAAAAGACATAACAAATCATAAAAAAAACGTCTTTTATTCGTCTAAAGATATCTTTTTTCCCACTGGGTATAAAATTTATGTACTATTGTCTGAATAACGATTTGGTTTTTATTATTTTTGATAATATTTCCTGTTTACTTTTGCTGTAGTTGATTTAACTTGAGCATCATATTTAAAATTGGTGAAATTATTATCTAAATACCTAAACCACTTTCAAGCTCTGTAGTGAAGTATACACAACTTTTTGGCATCTCTTACAAAACCAATTATTTTCTAAATATTTGTTGGTCTCTTCAAGAATATTTGATTATTTTCTAAACACTTAATATTAAAAAATTATTGTCACAGAGCACCGTGAAGCATTTACGTTGAAAGTAAATACAATTGTTTTTAAAAGAACTATTGTTCATTTAAAAATAAATAATATAAATTTAATGTAATTATGCAATCAACAACTAATGTAAACTCTTTATAATTTCATTATAATAAGCATTGATTGTTTAAATATATTTATAAATAAAAACAAACTTCATATTTTTATTTTATATAAGGAATAATCAAAAAAGTCTTAATTAAAAACATTTAGAAAACAAAAAGAATTTTATTTTTGTTACAAATGTTACAAAAAAACAAACAAATATTAAATCAAATATACTTTACTAGGTTAAAAAAAATTAATTTTGAAAAAAAAATTGCAAAAAAGACAAGTATATAAATAAGATGTGCAATAGTTCGAATTTCAACTCAACTTTTTAAAGTCAATTTTGGAGATTTTCGTTTGGATTTCCTCGGTAAAGGTTGAGCTAATTCTTCAATTCGTGGAGAGACTTTAGCAACCAGAGCTGTAGGATTTACTTTATCCCAGTCACTGTCATAATCTTCTTTATACTGACTTTTTTTGGGAAGTGCAAGCTGTTGAACACGAATGGTTGGCAATGCATTTTTTGCGCCGCTAGATACATCCCATATCACGGAACGACATTCTTTATATGATGCATACAACTTTTTCGGCTCAGCTAATTGCACTACTCGAGCAGAAGGTTCACATTTTAAAGCAGCTTCTGAAACATCCGAATGCCATTCAGAGTAATCCCAGCAGCTGTCTAAGTTAAAAAGTAAAACACATTTTATAAAACTAATTTTAAAATAATTATATCGTTTAAAATCCTAATTACATTATTAAAAATAAAAAATCTTTTATGTTTGCAATGACTCAGATCACAATTACATTAAATTACAATTTTAGTTATCTGGTAAGTTTGTTATAGAATAAAAATTTTCAAGAATAAAAATATATCTACTTTTTTTTAAGAAAAAAAAACCCATCATAATTAAAAAAAAAATTCTGTAAGATTTATTTAATTGAGATTTTTTTGCAAATGTTTTAAGGAGTTTAGAACTTTTGGAAAAAGTGAAGGTTTTTTCAGGTTCATAACTCGAGGCAATCTGAGGCATTTCAAGCATAAAAGATTTTAATCATAAGTGAAGGTTATTTCCACCTGAATCACATGAACAACAGTTATTTGATATAAGTTTGTGGAAAACAAGAGTCCAAAAGTTTGAAAGCTGTTATTTGATTCAGCATTCTTGTTTGCAAATAAAACAAAATTTGCAATAAACACAAAAAGTAAAAATCCAAGGGTATTCCTTGAATTAAAAATATTTTGAGTCTCCAATTAATTTCATCAGATGGAAAATGAAATTTTGGTGTCTGTCCCTAAAAAGCAGACTCGCTTTTGATGGATATCTTTTTTGGAATCCGTTTTTTGTTTAATGTAGAAAATTTCAATACTTCAAAAATCAAATCATTAACTAGATATCCTTTAGTTTGTGAAAATTAATTTTTTATGCAAAGATGAAATAATGTTTTTTAGAAAAATGCTTTGGAAAAAGAAAAAAGAAAAACTAATAAAAAAGCAAACAAGTATTGAATGTAAAAAAGAAAAAGAAAACAATACAAAAAATTGAAAAGCAAAAAATTAAAATAAATAAAAATGTTAAATAAAAAGTTAGTTTGAAAAAAAACAAAAAAAACAAAAAATAGTAAAGGAAGAGAAAAAAAAAAAACAGTAAAAGAAGAGAAAAAAAAGTTTCACTGTCTTCACACATTTTATACTATGCTGTGTTATTTTCTATACTATATCGCTTTACTATATCACTATACACTTTTTTATAAGATAGAGATAAATTTATTTTTAAACATTAAAAAAAAACAAATGTTAATACTTTTATTATTGTTATTTTTTTAGTATTATTAGTATCACCATTATCATTGTCAGGTTTTTACTTGAAATTAGTAATTTCACTAGTTGTAAACAGCCTTGAATATATATATATATATATATATATATATATATATATATATATATATATATATATACACTTATTAATAAACTGAAATGAAAAATATAGATTTAATAATTGTTAATAACCATTAAACCCATGCTTAGAGTTATTTACCTGGCTTAATACCTAACTCAGCGGAGAGTTTTGGTTTTGCTAACATCTGAATACGATCACTTGGCAGAGCTTTTTTAGCTGTAGAACTTATTACCGTATAAACTGATTTTGGTATTTGAAAATCCTTGTGGTGAACCTTTGGCTCTGCTAAAGACTCAAGTCTATTGGATGCTTTGCTATTCAATGCACCTCGACTAATCACCCATATTGGAGAGTTTCTAAATATTTTTATTTACAAATAATAGAAACAACAATAACTACTAACATATAAATACATGTTTATATATATAAACACACATACACACACACAGATATATCAAGGTTACACACACAGATAGATCAAGGTTATCTCCAGTTGGTACAAAACATAGCAATGTAATTGCACTTATACAAGAAGTTGCATATTTTTGTGAAAAAGCAAGGCAATTTGTTCAGATGAAAATGATCTAATAAACATGAGAACCGCACTTGACCATCTAGTTGCTGTTGAAATCGATTGAGCAGAAACCAATTGTTGATTATATGTGTGCTGCGCCACAAATCAACTATTATAGAGAACAATGCCATAGAATGTGTAATGATGTTTTGTAAATTAAAAATAACTAATCAGTTAGAAGCCAATGTTCTTGTGTTAGCACAATAACATTGGCTATTGCCATGTGACCATGATATACTAATAATATAAATCCATATTTATATAATACTGGATTATCTGCAGTTAATATATTTTTTTCTTTTTTTTTTTTCTAACATCTTCACTTCCAACAAGGCTGCAAGCAACCACTATAAGAGTTGGGAGTTACTGGAAGAGAAAAGACTAAATCTGTAGAGCAAGATAACGATTGACTGATGACTTAAAAGATTGCAAATTATATGAATCAGGAAAGCAAGATGAAGGAAGCGAATTCCAAAGAACTGATGTTCGAGGAAAAAAACTAGAAGAATAAGAGTTTTTGAAGCACTTAGGAACAGTCACAGAAAAAGGATGAGACTTAATTGAATGGCGAGTAACACGAGAATGAATTTTAGTAGATGGCACAAGGGACGCTAGCTCTTTAGAGCAGTGCCCATTATAGTATTTGTAGGAAAGAGAAAGAGAAGCAACATTACGACGATGTGACAAAGGTTGGAGATTGGCTGCCAGAGCAGGTCCAACTATGTTTACAATTCGTTTTTGCACCTTGTCTAAAAGAGAAAGAGCATCATTAGAAGATCCGCCCCAGATGTGGCAACAGTATTCCATACAGGGACGGATTTGAGATTTATAGAGATAGAGAATAGAATCTGGAGTAAGAAAGTGTCGAGCTCGATAAAGAGATGCAACCTTAGCAGATGCTAATTTTGCAATGGATTTGATATACGGTTTAAAAGAAAGATCAGAAGTAAGAGTTAATCCTAGAAGATGAATGGTAGATGACTCATCTAGTACATTACCATTCATAAATATAGGAAGATCTAAATTATTACGATAACGATTGGCCGAATAAAATTGAGTTTTATCTGAATTAAAGTTCACCAGCCACTGTGAGCCCCATGCTGTAGCAGAAGTGAGATCCTTTTCAAGCTCAGATACCCCCTCCAAGCAATCAGAGAGTGTAGGCTTCTTATCATGACAAGAGTAAATGGTAGTGTCTTCAGCGAATAATGCCACCTTAGATGTGAGAATATCTGGAAGATCGTTAATGTAAATTAAAAAGAGTATAGGGCCAAGGATTGAACCTTGAGGAACCCCTGAAGTTACAGGATGTGAAGAAGAGTGTTGTCCATCGAGGACAACTTTTATACTACGATTGGAAAGAAAGGACTCAATAATCTTAAAGACGTTACCAGCTACACCATAAGAAGAAAGCTTATGGAGAAGACCAGCATGCCAAACTTTATCAAAAGCTTTAGAAATGTCAAGTGCAATAGCCTTAACCTCTCCACCTCTATCTAATGCACGGTAAAACCTATCGGTTATTACTGTTAGCACATCAGCTGTAGAACGAGAAGACCGAAATCCATATTGATGATCAGAAAGTAAGTTATTTGATTCAAGATGAGAGATTAAGTGTTTGTTGATTAAAGATTCAAAAACCTTGCTTATGACAGGAAGAAGACTAATGGGACGGTAGTTAGATGAATCAGATCGCTCTCCGGAATTTTTGAAAATAGGGATAATAGATGCTGCTGTTGAAGAGTCTAAGCAGGAAATTACTTTAGATACAGAAGCTGAAGTGATGCGAATGTCAAGCAAGGGATCAACCTGTTTGACGGCTATGTCAGGTAAAACGCAACTAGTGGAATCAAGAGATGATATTGATGAAAAGTTCTTAGCAAACAATTCAGCTTTGTCTTTAGGTGAGGTGACAAAGTCTGAACCATACAAGAGAGAAGGAATAACAGATTTGCCCTTATTATTGATACTGTTAAAGATTCTCCAGAAGTCTCGAGAGCCTAATTTTTGTGATGAGATACAAGATTTAATGACCTGGGAATAGCGAGCTTTGGCGTCAGACAAAACCTTTTTACAATGGTTTCTGGCGATAGTGAACAGATGTCTGCTTTCTGGAGAATTGTTTTGCTGATAGATATGGAAGTAACGGTTTCGATTAGAAATTGCTGCAGCGCAATGTGAGGAAAACCAAGGAGAAGAGTGAGGCTTGACCTGGAATCGTCGAGAGGGAATAAAAGATTCCATGCCAGCCTGAATCCACGAGAGGGAATAAAAGATTCCATGCCAGCCTGAATCCACGAAGTTATGTAAGAAGCACATTTGTCAGCAGGAAGACGAAAGATTTCTACCCAAGGGCCATCACGAAGAAAATCACGGAAAGAGTCCCAGTCAGCTTTAAGGTAGTTGTATGTGGTACGATGATAGGGGGATTCTGATGAAGTAGAAGAATTTGATAATAGTTTTAGAGAGATCAAACCGTGATCAGAAGTACCTAAGGGTGAATGTGGAGAAATTGAGCACTGACTAGGATCCAAAACAAGACATAAGTCGAGTAGAGAAGGTAAATGATTAGGGTTGTCTGGAAAACGAGTTGGAAAGTTGACTATTTGAGTTAGAGATTGAGAAAGGCAAAAGTTGAGGGCCTTAACGCCAGCAGAGTCACTGACACTAGAGCCAAGCCAATCGGTGTGATGGGCATTAAAGTCACCAACAACGACGATATTGGCCGATGGATAAAGAGAGAGGGCTTGGTCAATTTGATCAGAAATAACATCAAGAATAGTGCAATCTTGGGATGAAGGAGAGCGATATAGAACAAAGAGAAAGGCGATAGAGTGAAGTTGTGCTAAACGAAAGCACATAAATGAATAGTCTGTAGATTCAAACCTAGTTTCACGACAAATGGGTGAGTTCTTACGAATGTAGATGCCCAGGCCAAGCATGTGATTATTGGAGTCTTTACGAATTAAAGGAAGATAACCATCAACACTAAGATCACAAGATGGGACAGCCGAACTCAAATTAGTCTCACAAAGAGCAAGTAGGTCTGGTGAACTTTGCAAGAGATAAGACTCAACAGAAGAAAAGTTACTTCGAAGACCACGAATATTAGTAAATGATAGGTTTAGAGAACCTGGTGATGACGATGGTTTTTTGTGTTTTTTAGTTTTAGGTACTTTAGTCATTTTAAATTTATAAAGAACTTGACTCAAGTATAGATAGTACTCAGTACACTATTTAACAACTAAGCAATAGCCTCATTACTATTAATAAACCCTAAGCCGTAACAAAGGGCTCCAAATGTGGCCTCTGCAATGCACACCAAAAGTACAAACAGGGACACCATCCATGTGCAACATGGCACTGTTAGTACTCTGATATTTTTCGGCTGTTGATGGAATCAGCCTCTCTGAGAGCTACCACAGAGTTCGGGAAACCTGACTACCAGCCGGCCTCAGAACCATAAAACTGAGTTTTAGAGCTGTACCCTCATTAGGAGATAATAGAATGAGTTGCCCAGTCATAAAAATAGAGACACAAGCAATACCCACGCATTGAGTCAAGAAGATCCAGCGTTCAACATCCTAAACTGGAAACAATGTATTAAAAATACATCTGCGCCAGCCTAATAGATGAGGAAGGGGTGCGAGGCTGGTCAACAGATAGAATCTGTTTACCCCTTAAGTCTTTGCCTAGGAGGCCTTCTACAAGACAGCAGCTGGATGCATGTAACATCTGCCCAAGATGAGTATTTTTATCGAGACACCATCTCTAGCCTTTACTCAACCAAGAGCCCCAAGGCAGGGGGTGTTTTAATTCGGAGTTAACTTCTCCTAGCCTTTGCCTAAAAAAGCGTATCCTACAAGGCAGCAGGACATGGAGCAGGTTGTACTGGGTTACATGTTACCAGTAGCAGGAAAACCTGACCTGACATAAATATCATCAAATGTACTAATTAGAAGTCCTTATAGAGGTACTACAATATACCATAATAGTCTTTGGAGTTGTATTAAAAATGTTGATTCACTTAAACCAAGATTACATGCTTGCATATCAATTTATTTGCAAAATTACATTTTTGCATGTTTGCTTTAGACTATTATTGCAAGTCTACGTTATTATTGCAGGTGATTTCTATTTGCATAAAAGTTCAAGATTTTATGATAAATTCTCAAGCCTTGGTGTCAAAAATAATTTGGTTAAATTTAATATAAACAAGTTAAATAATACTTTTACATATATTAGTGATGATGCTAAGAATATTTCATTGCTAGATCATGTCTTATGTAGCCAAATTGTAGATAAACTAATAGTGAATGTTTCAGTATTAACAGATTATTATTATTGTATTACACTAATGGTCTGTGGTTATTGGATTAGACCACAGACCATTATTGTTTTTAATTTATTGCTCAGTAAATAGTAAACCGGCTACAATATATAGAGATTCTACGCTAAAAGTATTGTCTAGAATGCTGAATTACCAAGCTTGTAAATATTTTATTTTAACTCAATATGGGCAAAGAATAGAATATTTACTTCAAAGAGTAAAAGAACCGTTTATTACTTTTTTATACTTTGTTCTATATTTCACAAATCTTTTGCTTTTGATATTATTATAATAATATTATAAAATGTGTGCAATCTATTGTGGCTGACATAATATCACATAGTGGTTTAAAAACTCAAGGAGCATTTGAACTTGCTCTTTGAATCTATAAAAATTACACTGAGCAATTTGTTCAGTGTCATCTGTCAGCTATAATTTATAGCTGACAGGTGTAATATCAACAACGGAAATCATAAAAAAATACTGGTAAAGTGTGTATAAAATTAGTAATCAAAATGCAACCAATCATGTTGCTAGTATTGATGGAGTCGTTTATTTATTGGTGACAAGGGCATTGCCACTAAGTTGTTATTTCAAAGTTTGTATAACTCAATAATCATTAGCATAGAATACATATTGAGCATAAAATGCAATCTTCATTGGTAGAGACATCTAATGAAGTTACCATTATAGATTTAATAATGCTTTCGTAAGCAAAAAAAAAAGAAAATCTACTGTCCTAGATGACCTGTTATTAGAATCACTTATATATGGATGATTGTCTCTCTATCTAGGTATCTTTTTTAATTTATGCTTTTTATATGGACATTTGCCATCAATATTTTGTGAAGCTACAACAATACCTCTAAAATAAGTAAAACCTAAAATTAATAAAAAAATAAAATAAAATCTTAAATTGATGTCTTTACTTTTTTTATATAACAATTTAATAATTAAATAATAAATAATTAAAAAGCAATTTCAATTTTTCCTGATTCTAAAATATTAACAAGAATTGAACCTCATGATAATGCTAATGATTTTTAGATTTTAAACAAAATCACTTCACAATGTCTTGTACTTACATTTTTAAGACAGTTGACTAATATATTTCTGGAGGAATCCATGTATTCACATGTTTTGTAGATTTCAAACAAGCTTTGAAAGCATTAATTATTGGAAACTGTTTTCTAAATTAATTTATCTAATATAGCCAATAATGTTGTCAGCCTATTGCTTTTTTATACAAAAATCAAACTATGTGTCAGATGGTAGACAAATAGCTTTAATATAAGAGACAGCGAAGTGGAATTCCTTAATTTTGGATCAAATAATTGGAATTCTGTACTTGTTCAGATTTTACAAACAAACTGATTTTCAATATTACTAGCCTGCATATTGGATTTAACATAGGTGGCACTTTTTTAAACCTTTTGGCATGTGCTAATATTGTCCTAATTGCACTATCTAGGTTTCCACTGCAAAAACTATTAACTGCATTATATATTGAAGCAACTGCCATTAATATGTCATTTAATACAAAGAAAATGGTGTGCAGGTTACTTAATCCAAAGCAGAAATGTACTCAAGTGTTACAAACATATTTATGAAATTAGATTTGCGTACTCTAGATTGTGCATTGTTTAACTGTAGATATCAAATTAGCTTGTCAAATATACCACAGGTTAATGCAGCTGTGTATGCATTAACCTGTTAATTGACTATGTTTGATTTAACTATGAACCTTGTATTGTACTTTTTGTCTGAATCAAATAATAATAAAACTAATAAATGTTACTGTGGCTACAAATAAGAAAAAACATTAAAACTAGAATAAAATAAAAATGCAAAACAAAAAGAAATGTGTAAAAAATTGCAAAAAAACCCTTTAGAATACTTTTAACAATATATATATACAAATTTGTATATATTTATTTTAACAATATAAACTTTATTTCAATTACTTATGTTCATTTTTTATTTGAAAATATATTTTTAAGTTAAAATTTTAGGCATAAAAGCTAACCTGTCACCTTTCCAATCTGTGTGAATAAGTTTTGGATTTGTTAATTGAGTTAACCTGTCTGACAAAACTGAAAAATGCAAATAAGAAGTAAATTATGATTATATTATTAGATTTATAAATAATAATTTAAACAAATATTTAATTTTTTTTTAGTTTTAACTCTTTTGACTATTACAAAAATAACACTAGTTTATAAATTTAAAAAAATAACACTAGCATTAGTTTATAAAGTTGAATGGGTATAATATACAAATATACTTGTAAATTATTACAGTTAAACTAATGAATACATAGATGGCTAGTTTTCTCAACAAAACATAACATAACATATTACATGGTTATCAGGATTGGGGTCAAATACAAATTCAAATACAAATATTTGTTCTTTAGGTTAAGAAAAAGTATAAAGCTTTTTTCAAAACAAGATTGATAAAATGGTCTATTATATAGAAAAATGAAAATAAGTCTTTTAACAAATATCCTTTAAAAACAAGTTTTTATTTTAGTATTAAAAATGGGAAAAACAAAACAACAAACCTTGTAGTATTTCTCCCCCAAAAAAACCTGGTTAAACTAGATTATGGAATTGAAAATACATATCAATCTAACACAAATACAAATATTTAAAGAAATTTTTTGATTAATTACAATACAAATTCAAAAACCCTAAATTAGCCTATTTTTACCAAATAAAAATACAAATTCAAATACAAATACATATTTGACTTTACCCCTGATGGTCATAACATAATAAATTACATAGTTAAACAAACATGTTTAACTGATTAAGCAAATAATCAGTTATAAATGTTTGAGTTCTAAAAAAAGTTCAGTTTTACTTCTTACCAAATTTAGTACTCAAGTCACTTTTAGTCCAATCTTTTGTGAATTGGTTGTCCCAGTAAACAGATTGTCTAAAAAACAGCTCATATATAATTGAAAAATTTTTGAAAAAAAAAATGTATTTTTGATTTACTTAACCCCAAAAAAATTAAAGAAATATTTTATATAATTGTCTTTTGTTAAATTGTTGCACATTTTATCTGTTTTTTTTTCCTCAAGTTATGTCAACATTATACCATTTTTATATTTTTTAAAAACTACAACAATTTATAGAATAACATTCTTTTAAAAAAACAAAGTAGAAGTTAACATTCTTTTAAAGTAACAAAGTTGATATTAACATTATTTTAAAGTAACAAAGTAAATGTTATTATGAAATTACATTTAGCATATTTAATTTTTAGATTTTAGTAGGTACATTTAACATCTAATTTTTAGATTTTATTTAGCAGATTAAGCATATCCAGTTTTTAGATTTTAACTTGCATTAACTCAAAAACTTTAGAACAAAAATTAATAGATCCTGAAATCCAAAAAACTAATACTAGTAGATAAAAAATAGATTAAAATATAAAACCAGAATCTGAATAAAATAAAGAATTTAATGATATTTTATACAAAAAAAAATGGACCATGCTTAATATAAATAGCCATGGGTGTGCCTAATACAAATAGCCCCTGCATTATTGATTGTAGATTAGTACAAAGAAATTTCTAAACCGTTGTCTAAAAAAATTGTATTTAAAACAATAGATGTCCTAAATTTAGAAGAAAAAATAGAAAAAAAGCTATAGCTTATTGGCGACAAATTAAATGTTCTATATAACCTTTATTGCCTAATGAAATACCTTAACTGCATAATCGTGACCTTAAAAAAGTTCACAATTGGGCAGCCATAAAAGTTACAGCAAAAAAGTTAAAATTTTGTGAACATAAATGATGAAATTGTTTGACATGTTAGGCAATCATTAAGATTTCCAATACACAAACAACCACACCCAGTTGTGCATTCAGCTGTTCATGAACCAAACAAACAGAGCTATTTTTACACAAGGAAAGATGTAGAAGCTGCATGGACAGCATTTGGAGAAAATTCCACATTGACTTATGGTTTAAATTGAACAGGGAAAATCATGAGAAACCAAAAATTCCTGAAAAATCAAAAAGAAAAATATTAATTAAAGATGCTGTTAAACCATGCACATTAAATTCAAAGGTTTGAAGCTCTTTTAAAAGTCAAAGATTGTTTATGTGAAACATTTTATAAAGCCTGTGGAATGCAAAATTTTCTAGATGATGATACTGAATGGGATAAAGTGATTACTATATTAAAGGACCAGGAGGTTGCGGGTAAACATATTTGTCTTCTTCAAAACAAAAAGAAGAAATCAAGATTCAAAGCATTCACTGGTATAGTATCTACATTACTTTCAGTTAATTGAGTGACACAATTTCTTCAACATTGAAACTTTCTGTACCTTTAGATAAATACATCTGGAATAATAACAGGAACAAAAGAAGTAAAACAATTGAACTTTATGACAGGTGTTAATCCTAACTTTGGTATTTTGTTTTATACAGTCTCCAATCTGCTCTAATAACTATACTTTTTCCACCAAAAAATGATATAAAAATGATAATTATAGAATGTATTTTAACATTTGCAAACATTGAAATTGTTTAAGAATCTGAAGTTGACATAAAAAAAATGATATAAAAACCAAAATTATAGAATATATTTTAACATTTGCAAACATTGAAATTGTTTGAGAATCTAAAGTTGACATAAAAAATGCGCACGAGTGTTAAAGAATCTGAATTTGTGGACTGGGTATTAAAAATTGGAAATGAAGAATTATTAAATAGTGACATGCTACCTACTGATATAATGAAAATAACTGAAGAATGTATAGCTACCAAAGATTTGATTAGTAAAATTTATAGCAACAACAATAACAAGTTTAACTTTGAAGTTATTTCAGGACGTGCTATATTGTATCCAAAGAAAAGATTCAAGAATGTATAATGAAGAAATTATCAAGTTTATTGGAATTGAAAAAATATACTACAGCATAGATACTTTGCAATGGTATGTGAATGCAAGTAATAAAGTTATTTAATAATGTAATTTTTGCATCGATAACTGAAGGAAACATGGCAAACTAGTGATGATTCTACATATTATATTGAAACCATCAGATTCGAGCCTTCCTTTTAAACTGAAATGTTGGCTATTCCCAATTATAATTGCATTTGTTATGACTATTAGCAAATTACAAAGCTTGATTGCATTGGATTTGTTTGCATTGCATTTTACTGGATTCCATTGAATATTATTAGCCTGAACCTGTTATTACAGTTTAAAGACCAAGATCAATGTCAGGAGTTAAATTTGAAATTTCAGAAACACCAACCAGTTGTTTTCTAGTTATTTAGGTGCTCCAATAAATACTAACGGTCTTATCACAGGGCACAACAGAATAACATTTTACCAGGAAGTTGACACCTCCTTCCTTACCAATGTTGTAATTATGGCCAAATCCGGCTTCAAACTGCTGTCCTCCAGTTCCGGCACTAGCACTCTAACCACTACACCATTGCTGCTTTTTATTTCTATTCTATTAAAAATATTTCTATTATTTCTATTCTATTAAAAATATTTCTATTATTTCTATTCTATTAAAAATATTTCTATTCTATTAAAATTTGAATTATAAACTAAAAAAAAAGTAGTATTATTTAAAAAAGTATTAGCTCTTTAGCATGCATAGAGACACAAAAAATTTTGCTTCTATAGCTTATAAAACCATTAATAAGATATTTTATGTCTGATTCTAGACAGCTAAACTTTTTAGGGGATGCTTCAGTTATTTTTAAAACTTAACCTTCAAACATTTTTAAAAAACATGGGAGCAACCTGGAGCTTGTGGCTAACCACAAATTATTTAATATTATTTTTTATTCCTAAAAAAAACTGAGTTCTCTAGTTTTCTGTCTTACAGTTGATTTTCATTGATGTCAAAACATACTTAATTTTAAATTGAGATTTTTTATTTTTTTATTCTTGAAAAAAAATAAATAAACAACTTACCTATCATCAATAAAGCCATCAGGTATAGGTTTAGGTCGAGCCAAAACTTCTAATCTATTTACATTACCTAAAACATAACAACAAACTTTATAAAAAAATTTCAAAACTACATGTAGACAAGTATAATTTTTTTAAACTTTATTTTTTATACAAATAAGCCCTAAAAAGATTTGAAATATAATTATTTATCTCTAAGAGATTTTGTATATAGCCTTAAATAATTATCAAAAACTTTAATAAAAAAATCTGTAAATATAATTTGAATTTTAAAGGTTTCAAATGTTTTATTTAAATTCTTCATCGTTATCATCATCATCATCATCATCATCATCATCATCATCATCATCATCATCATTTTAGCATCATTATTCAATGTTTCCACAGGCTGCAGCTTTCATAAGGTACAGTTTTTCTACTTTTACCTCTAAGTTTTTAAGACTTCTGCAATCTCACTATAATTATTTGCATCTTTAATTTCTACATGCTCAAACAACTTTATTCTTTCCTAATACATCTTATCATAAAAACTCGCCAATCCTAGCTTCTGTCTAAGATCATTACTTCTTTTTTATTATGTAGTCACACCATACATCCTATTAATTTTTCAAGACACCGGACATCACTAACCATTATTGACCATGTATCAGAGGAATACATCATAACACTCGCATGTGGTGTATAATTTACATTAAATCTTTAATAATGTGCCTTTTACTGATAGAAGTGGAAATAATTATGTGAATTTGACCCTTACTCCAGCTCTTGATACCTCTTCTGATTCACCACCTGATCCAATTTTATCTCCAAGATAAAAAAAACCTACCAACACACTTTATTTTTCTATCATTATTTATTTCAATTTCTTTTTGACATCTTTACTGCATTCCTCTAAAGTACATTATCAATACTTAAAACCAAAAATATTAGGAGTACCTTGTATACCAATACATCATTTGCAAACTTATTTCTTACAAACAAAACTGCTTATTGTCCACTTTCTGGTTCTTTAGTTTACAAAGCATATTTTTTACTTTTTTTATGTTTATCCTAAACTCTTTTAAATCTTAGTATTGACATTTTTTATATGTCTCTGCAAAAAATCTTATTCTACCTATCTCTATTCTTTTATCTTTTACTTTGATTCATTTGTGACATTCATAAATACATTCCATGATAACTCAGCCATTCTTCAACACAAAATACCTCAACCACTCAATGCTTTTGACTGACCTTACTGAAACAACAACCAAGTTTGTTCTTGAAATAAGAAAAAGATGCAAGCTTAAAGCAATGAATTTTTTATGTTTTGCTGCAAGAGCTAGTCTAATTAAAGTTATGGTGCATTTTCTCACAATCTCTAAAAGAGCAAATCTTAGAAGAGATCATATTCATGACAATATCTAGCTGAAGAATAAGAGTTCACAGTAAAGATCTCATAACTTTTGAATTTTTTGAAGTTGCTAATTATAAAGAATCTGTAAAACTATAACAACATATACATACTCTGCAAATAAAAATATAAATAAATTAAAGTTAACCTTTACTTTTTAAAGTCTATTTTACTTTGTGTTTTATGTTGCTATTTTACCTAGTGGTAAAATCTATCTTGATATTTTACACTGTAAGTTTTGATATCTTATCACAAGAAAGGATATTTTTATATCTTAAACATTGTTATTTTACATCATAAATGATTTTTTTAATTATAAAAAATTTTTTACATTGTAAAAACTTTAAATTGATTTTATGACTGAGCAAATACCAGGGTAAGGTTTAAGGATGGCATTGAAACTGTCAATCCTAACCTAAAGCTTTATTTGATGCATGTACACTTCTCACATGTTCTCCCTATTTAAGTCAGTAAATATATGTACAAAAAATTAAAAAAAAAAAAAATTAATTAAAAAATTAAAAAAATTAAATTAAAAAATAAAATGAAATAACTTACAAAAAAACGTCTGCTTCTTAAAAAGAATTGCAGTTTAAAAAAAAAAAAGATTAAATATAATTACTTTAATACAACCCTTTTTGTGGCTAATTATTTTCTTAATTTAATATAAAGAAATACACTTATTATTTAGTTTAATATTACAGTAATAATAATAATAATAATAATAATAATAATAATAATAATAATAATAATAATAATAATAATAATAATGATGAAGTAATACAACAATAATAACAAAAATAATGTAAAAATAAATCAATATTAGTCATCAAAACAGAATGTTACAGCATTATAGAATGCTTAAAGTAAAATCACATAAATGAAAAATCAAAAATAAGTGACACGGAATGTTTTAGAATTTAATTAAATTTTAGAATGCTTAAAGTAAAATCACATAAATTATAGAATGCTTAAAGTAAAATCACATAAATTTTAGAATGCTTAAAGTAAAATCACATAAACGACAAATCAAAAATAAATGACACGGAATGTTGAATTATTTTTGCCAACATTTTGTGTCTAACTTGATTAGAAACTCAAAAAAATGATTATCATAAATGTTGCATTATTGCAAGTAACTGTGGATAGTCTGTTTGAACTATTGCAGGCTTACCTCTACTGATTTTTTTTTTCTTTGTATGTTATTCATCTCCCAAAGGCTACGAGAGCTACTACAGCTACAAGAGCTACTACAGCTACAAGAGTTACTACAGTTGGAGAGGCTACTTTACTGTGGTTACAACCCTTTCTTAATTATTTAACTTCAAAACATAAACCTTAATGAATAAAACTGCTGTGCAGAGAAACAAGTTAAACTTCTTGCTTTTGAAGTTTACCACTACTACATATTTACTTCTTCTCAAAGAGTTACTAACGAGGATAACCGTGATGATAACACCAGAGTTAAAGAATTGATAACTCAATTAAATTAAAAAACAATACAAATAGTATTGAAAATAACAATGTTATTGATGGAACAAATCAGCCTGCTGAGATTTATGGGCTAAAAAAAGAGTCAAAGAGATTGCATCACATACTTTGTTACACATTACTGTGCCCAAGGCATCAAACAATCTTGTGATAGTTGGTGCTTATATTTTTACATAAAAATCAAAGATATTTTCTGAAGCTCTATAAACAATATAATTTGCTAGAAACGTCTTACAAAATCTTCTAGCATTGGTAGTATTTTTAAAGAAAATTAGAGCAAGACAAATTAAAAATTATAAAGTTAAAGAGTGATTATTAGACCTGACACTATTGTCTATTGAATAAGACTTTGATCATAAAGCTGAATGGTTTTCCCCTAATGAAACCAAGACAACTAAAGCTGAATTAAAATGAATTGAAACACTATTCTTAATGATTTGATGAGCATATTATGCATAATTTAACAAACTTCTATTATATCAGCATTTGTGATAAGAAAATTAGTAAATTTTCATAAATGTAATATTAACTAAAAAGATATACAATTGTTAAGAACAGCTTCTTACATATTTGAACTTCATGGTACAGTATATGATTACAAACTATAATATTAGTGTAACTACAGTTGCAATATAGATTTTATTCTTGTGTATGTTATTTTTCTACTATCAAACTTCTGTTTTTACACTTTGATATGATTTTTTTGGGGTTTTTATTGGAATTATAAAGAATACTTTGTTTTATGAAACTTTTAAAATATTACCTAATGTCTAACTTCAACACCTAGTTTTCTTAAAATTAACATCCAAGATTTAGAAATAACAAGCAACTTGTTGCTGTAACAGGCGCAGTAGCATTTATTAACATGCTTTTGTAACCTTGTTTTACTGTGTATACAAAAAAGAAGAAATTTTGTATTTCCCAGAAAAAGGGGAAGTGAACAAAACAAAAACAACAATATATTTCATGTTACAGATGTTACAAAAACACAGGTCATTGCAAATAGTGATTCACTAATAAAGTGCAATGACCTAAATAAGATAAATAATAATAATAAAAATTTATAATAAGTAAAACCACATAAAAAAGTAGGTTAAAAAAGAAAGTTAAGTTAAATAAGTTAACATATTATTAATTAATAAAAGAAAAATTGCATAAAAATTTATTTAATTATACCAAAAAATCAGACTTTTTGAATATATATAACATAATATAATGTACATTTATATATGCACATATACAAGAATTATAATAAAATGAGTAAATTATAATAAAAATAATTATTTAAAATAAAATATTAGAAAAAAAATTATAATAAAATAATAAATTATAATAAAAGTAAAAAAATAATTCAAAAAGTAGAAAGTAAAAAGGTAAAAAGTAAAGTTAAGCGCAACCTTTTAGGTAGAAATGATGGAATGACTTTAAGAACAGATTCTTGAACCTAAGGATGAGACCTGATGTTCAGAAGGGAGTTCCAAGAAAGGATACACTGGTATGTAATGGAATTAATTCCATGTTTACTTGTCTGTTTTAGTGGGAGATTTAAGTTGTTATAAGTGACTGATCTTAAGTTATGCCCACATGTTGTTCTATTATTAAAATAGTTGTTAAATATAGTAGGAAAGACACCATGTTGTTGATCCCAGACAAATGAACAATTTAAGAACTGAATTAAGTCATAGAAACAAAGAATTTTGGAAGTAAAATCTAGGATGTCAGTAGGAAAATTTCTCGGACAAAAATGAATAATCCTTACTGCTTTATTTTGAAGTGAAACAACTCTAGAGAGACATACGGTTTTAGATTTTCCCCAAACTTGACATGCGTATCGTAAATGTGAACCAAAAACTGAGTGATATATAGAGAGCAATGTTTTGAAGTTAACGTAATGTTGAACTTTTGCTAATACGCCGTTGGAACGGCTTAACTTCAGAGTAAAGTCTGATATGTGTGTTTTGAATGAAAGTTTTTCATCTAACACAACACCAAGATAAGTTATTTTACTAGAAAAATACATTTTTTGACCACTTAATCAAAAGTTCAAGTATTTTGGAATATTTTACTTAGTTTTTTTTTTAAATTTAGTATTTTGCGTTTTAAATATAATTATTTCTGATTTTTAGTATTGAATGAGATTTTATTTGCTCTAAGCCATTGAACAAGACTGGCCATATCCTGATTAATATATTTATTAAGTTTTTTGAGAGAGTTTGTTATTAATTGAAGATTAGTATCATCAGCAAAATGATACGTTTTTGAATGTTTGATAGAAAGATTGAGATCATTAATATAGATAATAAAGAGAAGAGGACCTAATATGGATCCCTAAGGTATACCAATTGAAAAATTTTTAATATCTGAGCTGGTTCCATTTATAGTTACAAACTGTTGATGATCAGAAAGGTATGATTTGAACCACTGCAAGGATATGCCACGTACACCATAATAGTTAAGCTTTGAGAGGAGAATTTTGTGGTCTACGGTATCAAAAGCTTTTTGCAAATCGACGAAAACCCCACAAGCAAAGTTGCCATTATCAAGAGCAACTCTTATATTTTCTGTAATTTCAATAAGAGCATGAGCTGTTGAATACTTTTTATGAAAACCAAACTGGTGTTTGTATAAGAACTGATTTTGGTTTAGAAAGTTGTATAGTTTATTAAGTATAAATTTTTCAAATATTTTGCTTACATTAAAAAGAAGAGATATTGGACGATAGTTAGTGCAGTCAATTGTAGATCCTTTTTTTGTCGGAATAATTTGAGCTAGCTTAAATTAAATGAATTGTTTAAAATGATATTTATTGCTTTACATAGAGTTCCTGACACCAGTTTAAAAAGTTTTGTTGGAAGACTGTTTGGTCCAACACTCCTTCCTTTTATAATAGTGGAATTTATATAATCAAGAGTTTCCTCTTTTGTTATTGCTTGCATATAAAAAGAGTTGAGTCTCAATCAACAAGATATTAATGATAACTAACTCAACAAGATAATTAATGATAGCACTTGAGTAGCCACTATCCTAACCCCCTCCCATGATAATCTTAAAAATATATATATTTTAACCTCTTATCAAAATAATAAAAAACAAAAGTGTTCATAATAATTAAATAATCGAAAAAATTATTTATAAGTTTAGAAAATTATTTATTAGTTTAGAAAACTTTTTAAAAAGTCAAAAGTGTAAAAAATGCCAAGCAAATTTTCTGCTTAGCATTCTTTACATAGTTTATTTAAAAATCTTTCACCTTCCCTTATATTAAACACTGGCTATGCCTCTAATAAATAGATAAATAAACATATATATATATATATATATATATATATATATATATATATATATATATATATATATATATATATATATATATATATATATATATATATATTTAAACAATTTAAAATGTATTCTACAAAAAGAGTGCTCAATGTTCTTAAAAGAACAGAGCAATTACAAGTTAGTAGAAAATCACTTAGCAAAATTTTTTCTCATTTAACACTGTGTTTCATCGATAATGAGAAAATCAAAAATGAGAAAAAATTTTGCTAAGTGATTTTCTACTAATTTATATATATATATATATATATATATATATATATATATATATATATATATATATATATATATATATATATATATATATATATATATATATATATATATATATATATATATATATATATATATGTATATATATGTATATATATATATATATATATATATATATAATATATATATATATATATATATATATATATAATATATATATATATACATATATATATATATATATATATACATATATATATATATATATATATATATATATATATATATATATATATATATATATATATATATATATATATATATATATATATATATATATATATATATATATATATATATATATATATATATATATATAAATTAGTAGAAAATCACTTAGCAAAATTTTTTCTCATTTTTGATTTTCTCATTATTGATGAAACACAGTGTTAAAACTTATTGCATTCAAATAAATGAACTAAAACTATTGAGATAATCAAAAGTTAACACCCAATAAGATAATAATTTAAATAAATAAAACCCAACTTAATACCTTATTGGTTTAACTTTTAATTATCTCAATAATTTTAATTCATTAAGTTAAATGCGGTTTAAATAATTCAACACTTAAATGACTATTTTAATACTTAATGAAACTTACTGCATTTAGCAGCCATTTTAGTTTGAGACACTTTTTGTTGCTTATAGTTACGTGATGACAACGCTGTAATTTACAATTTGCGATGTTGCGAAAATTTGAGCACAAAATTTTAGCATAAGAATACCCTGCTAAGTTTTATTGCAGTAAGTGACAAAAATAGATTTTTGGAAAAATATAGTGTAAAAAGCACAAATAAGCCATATGATTACCACTCTCCTTTATTGGACGGCGTTTAACGCACTCTATGTGAGACTGTAATTAAAGGCGATTCTACGAATAAAATAAGGGGGTAGGGGGTATGGGTGAATCCTTAAAAAATACTGACTGTTAAAAAAAAAAGATCTTTAAAATTAAAATTTACCCGATACTTCATACGCCCTTCCGTATAATCGTCTCTGGCTATAATGCTTATACTACAGAAAACCACACTAAATAAAAACGAACGTCGCCTTTTATTTATGCGTGAAAGTTGAACGTGGGCAACGTGCGATAAACATATTTCAGCCACATATTCACTCCTCCTCTCAAAGGGATAGAATTGGTGCATTCCATGTGTGGGTATAATGGTTATACCACTCAAAATACACTAAAAAAGAACGATTACCACATTATATTTTTATAGAAAAGATTCACGTTGGCTATCAGTCTAATGAACTGTTTATATATTTATACTTATTTTTATATGAATGCAGATGCATAGCTATATATTAGTTTGAAAACTTAAAAAGCAAAATATTATATTTTTTACATTTCTTTATTATTTTATTCACAAATACATTTTACATACAAAAATATTTCATAAAATTTAAACATATTTGTACTGCATTTGTTTTATACACCAAATAAAAGTGTGTAAAACTTAATTCATTATCTGATTAATTATGCAATAAAACGGTGATAGCCGCTTTAATCGCTTTATCAAGAATTTTTAAAATGCCATTGAGCGGTAGCTAAAAAAGGGTTCATATAAATAAAATATAAGATATAAGTATGAATAAAAATAAGTATAAATAAAATATAAGAAATAAGTCGGTAACAATCAAGGTTTTCTTACATAATTGAATTTTTTTTCACTCTTTTTTATGTTTCCTTTTTACAGTAAGGGGCTGTCCATAAAGAACGTTACCATTTTTTAGACAATTTTTGACCCCCTCCCATTTCCCATCCCCTCCTCCATTGTCACCGGTTGTCCTTTTTTCTTATACCCCCTTGAAAAGGATGTCATAAAATTGAGACCGATTCTTGCTGGTGATGTCTGAAACGGCTACAACTTTTAAGCCATCTTCTGAACGGCAGGTTGGAATAGATAAAGGCAAAAATTAACCAGGAATAACATGGAAATAAGCGCTCCTTTTCAAAGAACAACATCCGGTATCCTCACATTTCACAATTTGCTTGAAATATTGCCTACTGCCCACATGAGAGGCTAATCATTCTAAGTCCTTCGAAATGACAAGCATCAAGCTCGTCTTGCCGTCTAGATTGATATATTCAACGACCGTTGAAACTGATCAATCATCAGACCTAGAAAGATCGAGGCACAGATCTTTCAAGCAAAATAGAAATTCTGTTTTCTCCAAAAGTAGATCCACTGCCCTACCTTAAATAAAAGTCGCAATGCAGATAATTAATTCCTTAAGTCTTGTTATACATGTTGTATTTTGATAAAGAGTTGATATTAAAAATGAGTTCTATAATAATCATGAGGGAGAATTAAACCTGCTAAATCAACCCTGAAGACAACCACTGGCTAAACCAATTTGGTCAAAGGATATTTTGTAATGGAATTGAACGCAGAGTTTAAAGTTGTTCAAAGTCCAATCTGTGAGCATACACTGTTGACGATAAATGCTTTTCAGATCGAACAGCAATATAAGTACGACCAAAATACGAAACTGCATTTTTCCTATTTTTTCTGCAAGATTTTCCAAGCCCATCTAGTCTGTTTTTAATGCCTGCATAGAGATACGATATGAGCTTGTGCTTTGGGGTGATGAGCCAATCATGATCAGGAAGAAAAACTTGATATTCTATATGCATTAATAAAGGAGTTTGTTAGCAGTGGTGATTCCAAATGGGATTCGAGATATATTGTCTTAAGTTATACAGCAAACATCCTAAAAAAGAGCAAACTTCTTCCACATTTCTTATAGTTGCTGTACAAAATGGATCATTCACGTGACTTAAAGATATTCTTATACTTGCCGCACATATAACATTTACAAGTTTCGTAAATTAAAGGTGTAATAATTAAATAGTACGGATCAGACTTCAAGAAGATCGTAATGATTTTATCACAAAGCCCTTACAATGTGATTTGTATATATTATGATTATGTTAAATATAGTTATATATTAAGTACAACTCTTTTTTTATAGTCTTTAAATTAAAATAAAATCATAATAAAAAATAAACTCAAAATATGCTCAGGATAAAAAAATTAAACATAACAAGCAGCATAATAACTAAAATTGATGAGAAAAAAATCAAGTGTTTTTTTGTGTGTGTAATAAACAATTTTTTGATATATTGTTTGAGAAAGATAAGAGTCATTTAGTCAGTTAACTTTGTAGTTGATATATATGTAATTTAATTTATAGTCTTAAAAGAATTCTGAGTATCTGTTTCGAATCAGTATCAGTTTTTAAGAAATCTTTATTATCTGAATTGCAAGTTGATTTATTTTAAGTTACAATAGTAACTAACTATACAACAAACTATACAACAAACTATAGTTATTGTATAAATAAGAACCCCGATATAAAATTGAGAACTAGGAAAGTTTTGTTTTTTTGAAAGGTGTAATAAAGTTTCCTGTTTCTTTTGTGTTATATTTATTAACGTTATTTATAAAAAACTTATTTAAAAAATGGTTTGGTACTTGACCTAATTCAAAATTTAGCATAAACAATATATTTTGGTAAATGTTAGTTTGATAAATGTTAAGCACATTCATTTCTTAAAATAAAGGTTCAGCGTGTGTAAATTTGTCTTTATGATAGATTAGTCTTATAGGATGTTTCTGACGTTGATATAAAGTTTTCAATATGGTTATATGCGTACTCGCCCAAGCTATATTCGCATAAATGAGGTAGCTATGTATAAAAGAGAAATATATAACTTTTAAATTACTTTGCGACAGCATAGGTTTTGCTTTATAAAATAGACCTATTTTTTTTGATATTTTAGTGTTTAAAGCATTTATGTAAGCTTTCCAAGATAAATTTTCATCAATTATAACTCCTAAAGTTTAGTTTTGTGAGTTCTCTCAATTTCTAAATTTTCTATTTTTAGAGAAAGTAGATTATTTGGTAGTGTGTTTCTTTGCTGGTTTGAATGAAATAAAGCGTATTTTGTTTTTTCTTTTTTTAGGGATAACTTATTTGTTTTAAACCATATAATTTTTGGAGTTCTATGTTTACATTATCATACAGATCCTTGATGTTTGTTGAAGAGTAAAACAAATTTGTATCGTCTGCAAACATTATAAATTCAAGTTTCCAAGAAACTTTTGGAAAGTTGTTTATATAGATTAGGAACAAAAGAGGAGCAAGAATAAAACCTTGGGGAACACCGCAAGTTAATTTTTATAATTTAGTGTGGTAATTATCATCTGTAATAACACACTGTTGTCTGTTATACAGGTAACTTTTAAACCACTGCAGTGTATAATTTTTTAATCCGTATTTTTCCAACTTTTTTAGTAGGATTTTATGATCTATTGTGTCGAACGCTTTTGAAAAGTCTACAAAGATTCCTAATATGAACTTATTTTCACAGATTGGTTTGCTAATCCTATTGGTGAGGTCTACGATAGCATGCTCTGTCGAGTGCTGAGTTTGAAAACCATTTTGGTTTTCGTTCAGGATTTTGTTTGTGGTCGGAGATACATCCTCCTTAAATAATAACAGAACAATATCGAAGAATCGATATTGTTCTGTTATTATTTAAGGAGGATGTATCTCCGGATTTATAGATAGGAATAATTTTAGCTATTTTTAAATAGTTGGTTACATTTCTTGTAATTATTGAAGAGTTAAATATATAAAAAATGAGTTTACTTATTTCTGAGAAGACATTAAAAATTATATTGGCTGGGATATTATCGATACCTGGACCTTTGTTAATTTTTAATGTTTTAATTGCAGTTTCAAGTTCTTCGTATTCTAGTTCTTTAAAAACAAGATAGCAACGAGAGTCTTCGATGTAATTCTCAAATGAATTATTTGTAGGTTGAATTTTAGAGGCGAGTTTTGAACATATACTTGCAAAGTATTTGTTTAATTTTTCAGAGATAATTTTTTTATCATTAAACTCTTTTTCACTTATAAGAACTTATAGAGGTAATCTTGATTAGGTAGACTTGAATGAAGACTGAGGTAGTCTTTACTGAGGTAGTCTTTTTTTTGGAGGTCTTGACTGAGGTAGACTTGAATGTAGATTGTTTTGGGCTTGCATTAATTTTATTGGAACTGTGTAAACGTGTCTCTTTCCTTCAAATAATTTGCTCCGTTTTGGCATTAACAGTGTATGAAAAGCACTTCTGCTAACACTTTAGCCTCTCTTTTCGAGTTCATTCAACGATTTGAACCTCTTTATAAAGTAATTAAAAAAGGCTAAACAAGTATATTAATAAACGGAGGAAAAGAAACTGACATAGTTATGCCACCTAATGATTTAAACTTTAATTACGCTCGTGAGAAATAATTTTTCAGGAGGTATTATAGCCATATCTAAATAATAGATATGACTATCATGCGGACCACATAATGTAATTTACATAGTTATGCCACTTTATGTAATATAATAATCCCGAAAACAAAGGTATATGAGGTCCATATGTAGCCATAATTCTGTGTTAATGGCAGGATTAGCGAGAAAAATTTAAGATACTTTATAATCTAAACTTGGTTTTAAAAGTAACGAGGTATATAAGAAAAAAACAAACAAACAAACGATAATAGTTAAATTCTTAAATTAAAAAAACGAAAAATCTGCATTGGAAAACAACGTTCAATTAAAAATGTGGAACGGTCAATTTACGTAAACGTATATAAATTTATGGCAAAAGAACTTTTGAAAAAGTATTGCAAAAATAATTATTGGAAGCAAAAGGTCTGAGAGCCAAATTTGCT